GCAACATGCTATGTGTTTACATCCATCGCTGCCATGTTTGTAATGACTTATCATGACAACAAACGTATTCATGCACAGTTGTGAAACTGTTTTTTTCAACATTAACAGAATATCAACAAAGTTTTGCGCACATTTGCAATGGAAACAGTTGTTGTCAGTCTTTTTTAACAACACTTTGTTTACATGCTGACATTCCCCTTTGACATCACTTCCTGTTTTTTCACATGCCAATTTGTCAACAACCGTTCATCTCAGCGATGTGAAATTTGTTTTGCAACATGTTATAAATGTTATCTTTCAAAAAGTGCATTTATGTTTATTACAAAAATTTGACGTCAYGGACACTTTAAGAATTTCCTTTGTTTTATTTCTAGTGTTCAGTAAATGTGAGAACATCATAGAGAAGCAGAGTCCACCACAAAATATCACAAATGTGTCCATTAGCTTCATTAAGCTATACATTTTARAGATGTTTGTAACAAATAGGAACTTTATTACTGAATATTTTGAGTAAATGTTTTTTTTTTCCACAGCAGAAAACATGTTTAGCTCTTTTTTATACCTGAGCAGATAACGGGTATRAAGGTGTTTTTGTTCAGTGTTGTTGCTGGTGGTTGAAGAGGTGTAGTTTGTTCAGTTGTGAAGTAGTTTCTCGGTCAGGAAAGAGCAGAGGTTGCAGGTTTTTCATCCACCCACAGTTAACATCACTTGTGAAATGGTTCCTGTTTGATTCTCTGTGTTCGGGGTCAGATGGATGAAGGATGGATGTGGTTACTTTCACCTGTAGATCGCCCATAATTACTCAGCTCAGTGTAGAGGCAACCAGGAGATCACAGCTGCTCTGACAGGTGGATATGGTGTGTGTGTGCTGTTTGTACATGTGTGTGTTATTTTCACGTGTCTTCACATGTTGCAGCGATGGGGGCTCAGGTTTCCCTCCTTGACGTGTGCTGACAGTAGCACAGTGATGTCTGGGTGGGGCACCCCTCTGCAGGTCACACTAACATCATCAATCTTCCCCCCCGGTGACAGGCGGCCCGGCCCCCCCGGCCACGAGCATAGTGCTGTGTTGTTTTGTAATTAGGCCCCGTCCCTCCTTCTTACCGTCCCCCGCCCCCCCCACCAGCTGGGCCTCTGACCCGCTCAGCATCAACAACCTGCTTTAATTCTGCAGCAGTAATTAAAGGTGTAACAGCTTTTTTTCTCCTCACTGCTAACAGACAGCGCTGCACTGGGCKGCTAAACATGGGAACGAGGACATGGCCACGCTGGTGGCTAATGCTGGAGCAGACGTCAACCTGAAATCAGTGAGTTCAACCTTTTTTCTTGTTTTTCTTCTTCTTTATGTTACAATGTGAACAAACGGCCTGATTTAAAGGGCCAATATTATGTGTTTCTCAGGCATATATTTAAATACTATACCTTAATAAAGTATCTATGTCACCTTTAGTTG